TGGATGGGACAATTGTTTATTATAATATGGTATCCAGACAGTAAAGGTCAACAGTTTATAAAGTATACAGAAAAATGAGATTTAAATAACAAAGTAAACATAAAAGAATAGGTTTTTTTTTTTGTTTGAATAAGTTACAAAGTTATTAGATATCTTCAACAATATCTTACACACTATACAAGATATATGCATACACTGATTTTTTTTTTCTTTTTTTTTCTCTCAAATTTTTACAAATCATTATAACTTTAATACAATGACGTTCATGTAACCTCAAAATGTAGTCATATAACAATCACATAATCAATTCTGTTCCTTATTTTCAGTATATACTCTGCAATCATCTTGACTATCTAATTTCATAACAATCCTTACCTAATAACATCTATTGGGTATGTATATCAATACTGATTCTCCTCTTATATGGATTTCTATATCAGTATATACCTCTCATAGGATCACTCCACCTCATATTCATGGAATGAACGGGAGGGAAATTTTGAGACTAGAAATTTGAATCAACACTATTACATGTTCAATGTACAGAAATAAGAAAGAAATGCACTGTGTGGTCTTTCTCTCTAAGACTACTGATTATCATTGGATGTACATAACAAAGTGAACAGATCGACTTCTACTGTAGTACAATATTTTAACTCTGTAGTGTGAAACTAAATTTTTTTTCTATCACTTGAAAATATGAAGGTGATGGACATGTTAAGAACTTCTTACACAACCATATTGCATTGAGTATCTATCACTACATGCTCACATCTAGGCAGCTAACAGTCTCCTCTGTTTGCACAGAATGTTATGTAAGCAAGAGTACAACATATAAAAAAAATGGGAAAGGGAAACAACAGCACACACAAGTGAAAATTCCTGCTTTGTACAATAGACAAAATCCTATTTGCTTCAAATAGTCTTGGCAGTTCTTGCTTACGAAGAGAAATAAAATCCTGGTATGTAGGACTGCTGACTTCGGAAAAAAAACTTCCCTCATGTGGTAAGTTTCATCACTAAAACATTGCTTCTTTTTCTTTTTTTCCACTGAATAAAAAAAAAAAAAAAAAAAAAAAAATGATAAGAGAACATATCTTAATATTATGTTATGTTCAAAAGCAAGATTTTCATTTGAAGGCTTGAGAGTTCTTCCTGGACTTCTGATTGTAGTTCTTGGTACAGGGTCTAAAGATCATACTACAAATATTTTGAATGGTACTAAATTCACAACTCAGTTTTCATCCTACGGCATAAATCATTCTTGTCAAGAAGGCATCTTATATTACAATAAGGCCTAGGCAAACTCACTGGCTTCAGAACTAAAAACACAGTAACAGAGTCTAATATTGCAATGCTGGGTTACGCAAAACAATTCTTGAACCACTTAATCATCTTGCTCATAACCCTAAAATTAAAAGACCCATGCAATCATTTCCCTATCTCAACCTAGCTCACAACAAAAAGTAGACAGATATGAAAAAAAAAGTAACTAAGTAGTAGTAATAGGCCTATGAATAAATGTAACAATGGTATCTATCAAGCTTTCTCTTAAGTAGTTCAAACTCTGAACACTAGAATGCAGATCATGGGATTACAAGCATTTTAAAGAATCTGACAACAGTGGCATGAAACTAAACAGCAAATATCCTCACTTGATCTTCTGTAAAGAAATTGTGGTCAATCTGCAGCAAACAGAAAATGTAAAATATTCTGAAGAGAAAATCCAGTAACAGATGTCTCTATTGCCATTCTACAAGAGAATACAGAGTGTAACATTTCTTTACAATTTAACAGCATTTCATATGGTAACAGTATCTTCAAATCTGTAAAAATATATACAGTCACTAAAAGACAGAACTCTTTGTAAGCTCTGCCAAAAGCACAACTTCCAACTTACAATTTTACAGCATAACATACTAAATTACCTACTACATTACAGAAAACACAAAGATTTTGGTCTCTATACCTCAAAAAAATTTACTCAAGAGAAAAATCAAGCTTTTTTTATGTGTTGGGGACAAGACTGTAAAACAATTACTGAGAGCATTCTATTTCAGAGAAGCAAATGACAGTAAAATGGAAAAATGAAAGAGAAAAAGTAAAGGATAAACAAAAAAGTAAACACAATCACATATACAGGAGATATATATATATATATATATATATATATATATATATATATATATATATATATATATATATATATATATATATATATAACATGTAATATATATCATAAATCATATATTATATATATACATATACAAATACATATATATAAATACATATACATATATATACATATACATATACATACATATATACATATATACATATACATATATATATATACATATATACATGTATACATATACATATATATACATGTATACATATACATATATATACATGTATACATATACATATATATACATGTATACATATACATATATATACATGTATACATATACATATATATACATGTATACATATACAT